ACCCCAAAAGAAATCATCCCCGGCCAACCATTCAATGTCAAACCATTTCATCTTATATTTGGGGTGGAAATCTAAGATTCTCGCCCCGTAATTATCATGATCAATCTGCAAGGAGAATAAAAAATAGTGAAGATAGACATACAAATATTACTTTATCAGGTAGTCCATCATATCATAGTTGCCAGAGCAGACAAAGATGGAGCCAGAGAGAGCGACAGGTGAGTGTGTCCCGCTTACCTGTTCACACATTCGCTGTAGTTCTTTACCAGAGAACCTAGTCGCCAATGCTTCTTTAAGGCCCTACATATTTTTATTAGATGTAACCATAAATATTCGTATCACAATTCCAAAACAAAAGGTTCCGAAACGTAAGAAGTACGGTGACGCAAAAATGATGCTTGGGGTTTTGTACCTCGATAGTGGGTGGAACATCAACTTTAATAATTCTAGTCATCCGTGGAACTTCCCTGGCTGCATCATTTCCATTAATCGCTTCATGCAACATCATGCAAAGCGATTGACTACTCCAGTACCCCAATATGATGCTCACCATTTCCCTTTTGAGAAGAAAAAAGAAAAAAATAAAATAAATGAGTATATCTATAAATTGACACTTGATGCTTCCATGTCATACAAAAATTCATCCATCTATTCTATGACACAAGAGACCCCATAGGCTTATGCTTCCGTGCCTCTCTAAAGCTGCAGTTGATTCATTTCCTAGTCATCAGGGAAACATAAGGCTTTTTGCACTTAAACAGAGTATAACTTGACTTGTATGTTCGTCTTCACAAACCACATTAATAATCTAAATCGATCCAAACTTTTTTATAACCTAAAATGAATTAAATGTATTATAGAAAAAGAAAGAAACAGATCGCATGATGCACATATAATTTCAGTATGGGGGATTGGAAACCGGAACAATTGCAGTTCTCTGATATGTTGGCATGATGTACGAAAAAGAATGTGTTTTGATACAATACACTTGAATAGACTTTCTCCCCACTAGGAATAAGACTCACAGGGACAATGCATAATGCTTTGAAGTTTTACAGTGACATCACGCGCTAAGAGAATTGGTCGAGTGACAAAGCATTGCCATAGGTTTCTTGTGCCACAAAAGATTAATTTGCCCAAGCATAGAACATAATTATTTGAAGCATGCAACTAGAACCATGATAAATAAAACCAACGATACAGGAAAAAATCAATACATTCATTTTACAAATGGAAGATAACAGTTATCACCTCACAAAGTAAATGGTGTCTGTTTTACGTTGCAAAACGTGTCCCAATGCGACGTCTCTCCTGAGATCCTCAACTCTTTCTTGGTCACTTTTTTCAATTGAGTAAGCCTCTAAGACGGCAAGCACTTCCGAAGACGGATCCTTCAAATAAGAAGTTGCGAGAATAAGAAAGATATATTTTATTTGAAGTACTAAGAAAGATACATTTTATTTAATGTACTAGGTTTGTCCCCATGAGAAAAATATTGTAACAGCAAGGAATACCTCAATATGTGCCGTAACAAATGCCTTGTGAAAATCTTCATCGTTTAAAAGGTTCGCAACTAGCTGACCAAGGTGGCGTACAAATCTATCATCTCCAACAGCAAGCTTGAGCACAGAGAAAATATTTTCCACTTGCGACTTAAGCCCTGAAATGTTTTTCACTATGCCAGACATAATCTCAAGGGCATCTCTCTGCATAATAGATAAGAAAAAAATAATAATAAAAAAAAAAAAAAAACTGAACTAACTTACAAGAGAAAAGAACACCATTGTTGTTTCTGTCTATCCCTAAACAAAACAAGATATAAATGACGAAGATCACCTGCGACAGAAAATGAATGACCGAGAAAGATGGATCAGTGTCATCAGACAACGAAACTTTAGCCACTGGGTCTGCAGTATCCACGCTCTGAAAACAGCTCATCAATTCAATCAGGAAGTGTAATAACTACTCAATAATAACCAACCAAGAAAAGGAAACTGGATTGTAGATCCATCCATTTAAAGCAAGCTTTTTTTTTTTTAACACACAAGCACACAAACAATAAACTGCTGAACTGCTTGTTCGTGTTAAAAATTAATGTCAGCTCATACATCACCAAAACAATGTACTAGTATACTGTTAACCCCAGATCATCAATTAATGGCAGCAAATGGGATGAATAAGTAGGCCAAGAATAATAAGATATACATCATAGACGTGAATTAATCAAGTTGAATCCTACTCCTTTCGACTTTTTCGTCTCGACAGAAGCTAATGCCTCGGAAGAGCTTGCTGCCCTCTTAATTCCAAGGAACGGTGAAGAATCAGAACACATCTCTGGAGTTAAATCTTCCTGAAAACCCATGTTGTTTGAAAAATCCCATGGATGACAAATACAATGTAAACCCTTGTTAGCAACTCTCGAAAGAAATCCCATAATTGATACATACGATGAAAAGAATTTCAAAATCGAAACGCACCGCCGACATCTTTCAGGAGGGATTGCTGTTGAAGACGCAAAAGCAACACAGCGCCAATTCGAGGCAAAAATCACCCGAAAAAAAATAAAATGTGTGAAATAAGTTCTAGAGAATGACTAGCTTTTAACTTTAAGTAGTTCGACTTAGTGCATTAGCACATATGTAAATAAAGTATTGTGAATTATTTATATGCATATAATGATTAATGATTTTTCTTTCACTTTTTACAGGCCAAATTTATAATTAAATAAATTGTAATATATATTTTTGTTTTTTTTTTAAATTGCGTTTATTAGATTGGGTGTAATGTATATTTTGAGACGTAATTATTTATTATTTATTTGGGAATTTCAAATATTTTTTTTTATTTTCTAAAAAATAATTTAAATGTAACAACAATAATAACATCTAATCATATTATACGGTCAACACTTTATATGGACAACTGTCAGTAATCAAAAGTTTAAAATGATTTTTGTAATTTGAACTGATTAGTGTGTTGATTATCTAATAATTAAATGAAATGTCAAATAAATCAAAAGTAACGGTTTTTTTGAAGGAAAGTGTAAAATTGCCACGTAAGTATAATTAAATAAGTTTTATTTAATGCATCTGCTAGCAATTATATATATATGGATAAGTTCTGAAGAGTTCTGAAACCATAACCGTCTAGGTTTCTTATGATTACCGAAATATTTAAAAAAAAACACAAAAATAAAAGAACAAATGAATGAAAAAAAAAGATCGTTAACTTATATGAGCTCGATTTGAGAAAAAAAAAGTGTAATTGAAAAATTAAAAAAAAAAAGTGGTATGAATTTTTTTTTGGTTTATGTAGGAAAGTCGAATTTTAGGTTGATTTGTTATAAAATAAAGGTGTTCCCAAATTTTAGCATATTCCCATAATAACTTTTCATAAGATATTGATGATAATTCGAAAAATTGGTATGTATTTCTATTGAAAATTAGAGAAATATTTTGAACAAATATTGGTTAATAAAATTTAAAATTTATAATTTAATTATAGATAATTAGTTTATAAATTTAAACGATAAAGTAACATGATATTTATTGAATAGTCCAAATTTGGGTTTCAAATTTAATAGTCAAATAAGTAATTATTTATAACTTATGAGTCGATATTAACTTGGATGTAAATAAAGTTTAATAAATTACTCAACTACTTAAATTTTTTGGATAGTTTATATAACAATAAATTCATTTTAGTTAATGAAACAATATAAGTTTATAATTATACTTATTATTCACATATTTTTAAATATATGATAAAATTTTACCAAAATAAATATTTTATGGAATCACATTGTAGTCAAATCGAAATTCGGAATAAAAATTTTGAAATGACACTTAGTTTGAAATGAATACAATTTAATTTGTTATCACATATTTGCACCGTACGAGTTGTACACTAATTTTAAATAGACTTGTTTTATCATAACTTAAAATGTCATATAACATTTTCAATAAATTAATATAAGTAAATTATATTACAACTGATTTCATATTTGTTAATTACAAATATCATTTAATTAATAGATATTTTTTAATTTATAAATATCAATGAATATCATTTATCCTCATTGCATGAGATTCATACTAGTTAAAAAAAAAAAAAAAATGCAAAAGATAACAATAAAAGGCCTGGCCCAAATAGCAAAGTACCACCGTGAGAATCAGGTCAGCCCGAACCCGGCCCGGTGAGAAACCAAATATACTTTTAACCTTCCAATACAAATTTGGCCCTGCTTCGGATTTCAGATTTCGCGCTCAATCACCAGTTAATTGTTGTAGTTTTCCTCGTCCTACTGAAGGTAGGGTTCTGTGTTTTCATGCTTTGCCGTCAGGGTTAATTGTTGTAGTTTTTCTCTATTTTTATGAATATTTATTTCACACAATTTTGTTTTTTTTTGGGGGTGATTTTTGCCTCGAATTGGCGCTGTGTTGCTTTTGCGTCTTCAACAGCAATAAGGGTTTGTATTGTATTTGTATTTGTATATCTTTATCAGTAAGTTTTCTTTTGAGAGTTGCTAATAAGGGTTTGTATTGTATTTGTCATCCATGGGATTTGAATGGGTTTCCAGGAAGATTTAACTCCAGAGATGTGTTCTGATTCTTCAAGCTCCCTTGGGATTAAGAGGGCAGCAAGCTCTTCTGAGGCATTAGCTGCTGTCGAGATGAAAAAGTCGAAAGGGGTATGATTCGACTTGATTAATTCACTCTATATCTTATTATTTTTAGACTAGTTATTCATTCATTCCATTCTCTGCCGTTGTTAATTGATGATTGGGGTTTAACTGTATACTAGTACATTGTTCATGTGATGTATGGCTGACATTAATTAATTAACACGAATGAGCAGTTAAGCCGTTTATTGTCTGTGTGCGTGTGTGTTAAAAAAAGCTTGCTTTAAATGAATGGATCTACAGTCGAGTTTCCTTTTCTTGGATGGTTATTATTGAGTAGTTATTGCACTTCCTGATTGAATTGATGAGCTGTTTACAGAGCGTGGATACTGCAGACCCAATCGCTAAGGTTTCGTTGTCCGATTTTGAACTTACGCTTCAAGCTATACAATTCTATCCATCTTTCTCGGTCATTTATACTCTGGCGCTGGTAATCTTCGTCATTTATATCTTGTTTTGTTTAAGGATAGATAGAAACAACAATGGTGTTCTTTCCT